TATGCTACCAGAGCTCCTATATATTAAAAAAAGGCCTGTTTGGATGCATTGCTATCCTCACTTTACAGGTGCCTGAGCTAGACCTGCATAACCAAAGAGTGATAGAGGGTGAGACAATTATCGTGACATCTATGACAAACAGACTCCCCCTTTTTATCTAAATTACCTTGCTAAAGGGAATTTTTGAAGGTAGCTGATGTAACAGACACAGCATATGATATAAATTTGGTGAAGTGATTTTAAATATCAGCTTTGACTCACAGTAACTGTGTTTTTGAGTCTCAGTTTCCTCATCTGTAAAATGGGTTAAAACCCCCAAAAAACCAATTCACTGTCATTGAGTCGATATCCAACTCATAGTGACCCCTCCTTGGGTTTCCAAGGCAGTATCACTATGGAAGTAGATTGCCCAACCTTCCTTCTGAGGAGTGGCAGGTGGGTTTGAACCGCCAGCCTTCTAGTTAGCAGTCAAGTGCCTTAGGCATTGTGCCACCAGAGCTCAATAAAATGGGTTAGTGATGTATATATTTTAGGATTATAGTGAAGATTAAACATAGCAAATGTTTAAATGACTAATTTAGTGCCTGGCACACAGATACCTTCCTTTCCACTTTTTCTCCTTTGGGGCCAGGATAACCTTGTTAGTGACATCACATTGGCAGCTCAAAACAAGGTATGTTGGGAGTATTTACACCACAGAAATTGGCAAATATTACAAATCTGAATTCCCCACCCTCCCTGCTATAGAGATATTGTTAAACATTTGCTAGCACATCACTTGTTTCTACCATTATGGTGCTTAAATTCTAGTGAGAGAGATAGTAAATGAGTAAACAGATGGATTAACAAGATGGCTGTGTTTCTCCCTTGCCCATGACTCTCACTGAAAGACTCCCTCTGGTTTTCAGCCTCTTTTAACTTACACTCATGCTTCTTTAAAAAGTAAAAAACAAACAAAGAGAAAACTATCAAAGTGATGCATGCGCATAGTTATAAAAGTCAAGAAATGCTGAAAGGTTTATATCAACAAAAAAATCAGTAACTTGGCCTCTCTCCCACCCTTCTTTAGTGAATCATTTTCATCTCTTTCAGTTCTTTATTCTGGTATTTATCTCTGTGTGTTTAAATGCCATACTGGTCCCAATATCTCTTGACTAATCAATTGTTGACATTATTTGTTGGCTACCTGATACAGAAGAGGAGGATTAGTTATTTTATACTTCCTTACCCTCCTTTGAACACTCAGTGTAATTATGTCACAAATTTTATTTACATTCATACTCAGTATTTTCAGGTGTCCTTATGTAAATATTATTCATTGCTGAGCCATGTAGTATGCTATGATTACAATTCATTTCATGTATAACTTTTGATTTCTCATGGAGTAAGTCATTTGACTGCTAACCTGAAGGCTGGCAGTTCAAACCCACCAGCCACTCTTCGGAAGGAAAGTTGGGCAATCTACTTCCATAGTGATACTGCCTAGGAAACCCAAGGAGGGATCGCTATGAGTCAGGGCCGACTCAACGCCAGTGAGTTTGGTTTGGTTTTGGTACATTAATTTGAATTTCTAAGA